AGCCCGTTAGGCCCTATAGTATCGTTATAATATTTAAGTACTATCTAGAGGTATTTATTATTAATAAAATTAGGATTTTCCTTTTTAATAATTTAGAACGCCCTTTTTAGTTATTAATATACCCTTTTTATTTTTTTAATATTATAATACGCTTTAATAGGTACGATTTTTAACTATATACCGTAAGCTATTATATTTTTTTTAAATTTTACTATTTAAATAGAGAAAGCGCTGTTATTGCCGCCGGATTCAGTGGAAAGTGCCGCTGTTTTACGCGGCCTCAGCAGTGCGAGGCATCCATCAGAGCCGGTCGGCAGCGAGGTATTAAGTACTTCAGGGCAGGGACCTGCGAAATCCTGCTCCCTTGCCGAGGCGGTGCGCCCAGCTGATTCTAACATGGTCCACGCGCCCAGATCCCCTACCTTGCTTGAAATTATCCACACTTTTCACGAAAGCTGTTTGTTTGTTACCTCTGGCCTGGTGGACTATTCTGGCTTTCCTGGTTAACTTGCCAATATGGCACGCAATCACCTTAAATGGCAGCGATGCCTCATTCCCTTACTGCCACTCGAAAATGACAGGTTGCCACACGACCTGTTCAGTGGCTTTCCGGAAACGATCGGTCGCTCGATCATCAACCCAACACGATGCCGCGACGGGCGATTGCTACGACAAACCAGAATATCGCGTTCCTAAAGCACCTTGCCGACCGCGAGAACAAGAATAGAGATGCCGAACGGCCGGAACCTTTGTCGGCCGAGCAACATGCTTCTCTCCGCAACAAGCTCAAGGATGTTGACTTCGTCCGACCAAAGCTATCGCAGGAGACTGAAATCAACATTGGGGGGATCTTGGGAAAGTGGAAGCGGTACGTCGTCTAGCGGGCATTGGTTTTCAACGACTAAAGTTGCTGGGGCTAGGTATTGCGCCGATCAGAAACTCGGTGGGTGGAGAGAGGCCCTTGATAGCCTTACCCGAGAGACGACGATGAGTTTTTTTCTATACGTTGGCGAGCGGTCAAACCTTCGCTCTTCGGGGTCCTCGAGAGTGTACCTCCGCCAATTCCAGCAGCTATACACCACTGCCACTGGCCACTACATGGACCGTAACGATGTGAAAGAAGTGTATAAGGTATGTGGTGGCCGCGCCTGGCCCATCTGCTCTAATACCTGCCCTAACCACGTCTACTCCAGTTTCACGACCGCGTCATCGTCCCCCATTTCAATTTGAGAGCACCGAACACAGATGGGAAGCCAGTCCTTGGCGTGGAAGACCTCCGAGCTATTCTAACCTTCAATATCGCTTACGACATGGGCATCTTCCAGCTCGAACGGCAGCGCGTCCAACTGGCCGGATGCTATCAGATTCTGTGCTATACAGGAGCACGGCCTGGCGAGCTCGTTCAGAACGAGAGAAAAAAACCCCAAGATGGGTCCGTAGATGAACTCTTCAAAACCCGAGGCCTCGAATCGACAAACGCTAGGCACCACAACAGCCCGAAGAGTATCGAGGGTGACGACGAGGTGGGAGCTGAGGATGAGGGCTCGCTGCTGCTCAACGGGCTTCTGCTCCAGGAGACTGTCGGTCGCGGTCGCCCAAAGGCTTTGTGCTACGAGGATATCCTACTCATGATCGTTCGGCACCCTGTGACAGGTGCACCCACACCAGCAATGGCGATTAAGTTCGTTCATCACAAGGGAGCAGACAACAAACCGAAGCCGTATGTTGACGACCTGTCGTGCGCATGCCGAGGGCTGACAAGCTACAGGACTATTTTCTATTTCACTCCGGCCAAGAAGCTCATCTTCTGTGCGGTCAGCACCATCATTGCTCTGGCTCTTCACGACCACGCCTTCGACGCCGCGAGTTTGACGTCCGCATCCCGGATACTACGAGCCCAGATACGAGGTCCTACCCAGTGTACCCCGCTACGTTGGAAGGCATCTATGCTCAAGACTCCCGTCTTTCGACGCATTCATGGCACACAGCTGGCGGCGGACGAGGCCATGCCATACTCTAAGTTACGGGATGATATGGGCCGGCAAAGTCTTGACGCTGGCTTTGAGAAGCGTTGGACTCCGCGCTTTGCACGAAGAGGAGCAGCGAATGCGGCGAACGGTTGGTCAAGCTACAATCCATCTGTTGTAACCGAACTGACGGGTAATCCTAGGAAATGCTCCCGACGCCGTGCGTGATCAGATGATGCGCCACGATCCCAAATTTGCAACCTTCCACAATGCCTATATCAATCAGAATGTCAACTTCGACCTGCAGAATACATTTCTAGAGGAGGATGCTGAAAACCAGATGTACAAACTATTCGCGCACGTCAGCCTAACACGCGACCCTCGCGCCACAAGCAACATGGTTCCTGTGGAACTTTGGAACGACTTGGAACCCGATCGCGCCATTGTCAAAATGCAGCGACGCCGGGCAGAACTCAAAGACGGCCGATATCGCATAAAAGGTAAGGATAAAGAGGCTGAGATCCGCATGCTCACCAACCAAATCCGCTTGATGGAAGCTCGACGCGATTCACACATCGTCAAGGAATATCGCGATTACTATTTCCACAACCGTCCTACATGGGACATCGAGGCACAAGCCCGTGGCGAAGAGCAAGAAGAGTATGTGGAGCCGGAAATCGACCTACGGATTCCCGAGCGTAGGCGTCTCGCCGAGATTTTGTGCCATCAGTCCGATGATTGGACGCAGGACGATGTGTTACAGCAAAGGATCGAGGCCATAGACCTAATGGTGGTCTTATGCGACAAGAGAGAATCAGCCAAACGGGATCGCCTCCGGCCACGGGCTCGCGCGGAACCACCTGTTGCAGAAGATGTCCATCCGCCGATGACGGTTCCCCTTGTTTTGAATGCGAAACAATGTCCTGTCTGCGTTGGCGATGAGCGGCTTCCTTTGGAAGAGCGGACTTTCAAGTACTGCCGGACAACAGTCAGGAATGATCATTTTGATGACCAGCACCTTGAGGAACGAGAGCGCACTGTGACAAACGGCGGGGTTATCCGATGCAACCATCCTCAGTGTCGGGATGAGCCACGCTTCCAAAAAATGGAATCGCTAGATGCTTTCCGGAATCATGTGCGGGTCAAGCATGGGGTTTCACTCAGGACTACAGTCCAGGTTGCGCAAAGACGCGAGAACAAAGCACGCCATAGACGAATGAGACAAGGGTTTGTTTGAGAATTAGTCCAATAGTGAATACACACTGGAGTAATTAGACGGTACTAAAACGCATTGTTCAATCAGAAGCTTGACCGCGCCAATCGTGAAAACTAAACCTTAGCAATACTATAGCACTCTTACGGCGAATGGAATCCATGGCCATAAACTATTCATTATGAATCGACCCCTAGGACATAGAAGAGAGCACCATGGTGAGCCACTAAGTTAGCGATCATTGTCTCATCGTGGTGACAAGAAGTGCGTCATCGGCACGAGATCAGTTCTACCACCTCCACCAGTGATCCTTGCTCACAATCTGCAACCCCACAGATTTGATGATTCTGCCGTCTCCACATCACTGGTAGGCTCTCTTACTTTTCTGCCGTCAGCCCTTTTCCCTCTTTCAGCGATTTTGCCAGCTCCAGTTTAATTCTGCCAGCTCCAGGGGATTCTACCAGTCATCGTGGAGTTTTAGATGAGTTCTGCCACCTCAGCCACCTCAGCTCCTTTCTTTCGTCCAATTTAGGAATTTTATCGAAGTTTTCTGCCGCCCCTCAATTTCACCCAATAGAGTTCTGCCACCCAGAGCCCATTTGGGTTTCTGCCGTGTTTCTGCCGTCCCACCATCTGTCTGCTTGCAGTATCTATTGTTCGTCGTTGGGCTACGATGTGAGGCCTGTGATGTTGGTATAATGCAGTACTGTCTCCCTGAGGTACATTCATCGAATGAAAACCATTGGGTCTTATTTATTAGGGAAGGGTGAGAGAGTTTTCGCCCAGCTAAGTTTGAGCCGGGTTTTATCTCGTATCTACCCATTGTCACTGGTTCTTACATACTGTGCAATGTAATCCATCATGGCATCCCTCTGACGCGATTGTCAATCCGGCATTATGGTCTGTCGCCGGCTAGACGGAAGTTCTGTCCCTCATCACACCAACCTCAAAGGGGTCCCTGTGACAGACGCGGTCGACTCAAGGACAGTGTTCAAATGCTGAACAGTGTGGGAAGGAAAGTAGATCAGCCAATAGGATGGGCCTAGCTACGTCGCTGAGCGACCAACCCATTTGGTAGAAAGCGTCCAAGGAAAAGAAGCGACATTCGTATGAGCCACGTGCGCCTTGCAGCAAGGCCGTGTAGAGGTCTATTGACGCACGAGCCACATGTCTCGCCGATCTCACGCAACAATAATACTGCCGTTTCGCCTACGTACATCCGTCGGCGCTTTTCTCGTGTCGAGTGAATGGAGAGATTGCTTCGTGACTTCATGATGTTGGAAGACCGCAAGATTAGAAATCCGACAACCTCAGATGAAGCTATTAAAGCTGATTAAGTGCTGGTACGTCACGGCCAATCATCAATCGGGAGAAGGGGGCCACCTTGTTGCGAGTGGCACGATGCAGTGAGAGTTCCCCATGGGTGGATTTTGCCTGTGGTCGGGCCCAGTGCTGGGTCTACATACATCAAGGTCTTGCACTCCACTGTTTAGCTGAGGAAGACGACCAGCAATTTGGTCAGTGGGGACGAGATTGAGGGGAGGTCGATATACAGCACATAGCGAGATAACAAACAGGTCGCGAGAGGGGAGGCGGCACTGTTGACTCCAAGGACTACGACAACGTAACAGCAAGTACACAAGTAGAGCAGTCATTTTGAAGTGCAGCAAGTGATTCTGGCCACCGGTCTTCTAAAGAGAAGAACCAAAAGACGCGAGGATAGCAACAAACCAGAGATCAGTCCATTATGACGATAGGTCTAGAAGCAAGATAGCATCATTACAACTACATTCCTCCGCCGGACAGCTGCATTATGGTACTCAACAGCTGCGCACTCCACTTTCACCTTGAACTTCGCTGCGAGATTTTCTTTCCGCATAGTCCAGTGGCGACCTCCCCACCAGAACCGGGTAGACTTCTTTCTTCTAAATATTAGCCTAGGGGATAGCCTCGGAGGACGGCAGTCTGATTGAACATACCAACTCGGCTCTAGATTTAGGAAAATGGTGCTCAGAGGAAGACGTGTACTCATAGTGCTTGCTTTTGAAGCGGACTTGAACGTACACGTCGGCTCCATATCGTCGTCGTATCTGCTCACAACGCCACATGATGTTTTTGACCGCTTTGTCGCAGTTCTCGTTGGTTCTATCCCTTTTCTTTGGTGGCTGCTGACGAGAAGCCATGATGGTTTGTTGGATAATACGGACTGCGACAGGCGCCGGCCAAGTTCTAAGCACGCGAGTGAAGCAGCGACTCTATCGTGCTGCGGCAGTAAGATTAAGGTTTCCGGTACAGTTTGTACAGTACAGTACCGTACTATACCATGTAATGACAAGTAAGTTGTCGTTTTGCTCTTCCCAATGCATCCCTTTTCAAACAAACATACCACACGAATGTACGAGGCATATGCGGCAGTGGAGTCACCTTTAAGCCTATTCTACGGTCGTTAGTGTCCTGGGCTTTTGTCACAGCTATCTCGCGAGAGCAGCCAGATTGACCTTCATTCCATCTGCTTATGGGAAATTTGGACGCAGGCAAGCCTGACTTCCGAGTTCCGACAGCTATTCGGGAGGTTGACCTTGAAGCCAGAACCGTTGGCTCAGGACGGGAGGCATGTACCAGACAGGGATCGGCGCTTCGCTGTTGAACGGGTAGGTATGCGACTTTTGGCTTTAGAAACATCGAGCGTGTGTGCAGAAGAGCGTGTGTGCAGAGGAGGAGCAACACATGCTCACAACTGTATGCGGCTGCTGATATTGCTAACCAGATTCATATCTGGCCGCTCATGCTTCTCGCCCCGGTCGTCTTGAAAAAACGATCTTGCCCAAGGGCCATATATACTATACGGTAAAGTGTAAGAATACAATTCGACAATGTAGTGCGTGAAGACAGCCACAAACCAGCACGAATGAGCGGAAGGCACATAGGATGGCGCATAATCTGGTGCTGGCACCTGGATATGAATCAAATAACTAGAAAATCATGTCTTATTGATAAATCCGCCACAGATTACAAGTAGAAATTCTCATCCGGTGAGCGTGTGCTGTATTGAACACATGAGACACCTCTATGTGTGTGTTTTATAGCAACATCCGGTGTTACACATACAACGGCTACAACACCCTCATATGGTGGGCGAGTCTGGTCTGGGAATTCCGCACTCGGAAGACGTTGCGCCAGGACCATTTGAATTCCATTCAAAAGAATTGGTGATAATCGCGCCATCGCGGCTGGCTGTCCTGAGATGAAGCGACCGTTCCCCGGAAGCTTTCCCGTAAACGTGTGCCACTCTATACGAAGACGTTGCCTCGTTCCTCTCGCTTGGTTGATGCCGAGCCGCTGCAGAGCAGGCGGTCTTGATTTTAGCCACGATATCTGGGGATGTTGTTCCGAGCGCAGAGCTCATTTCCTGACGCGGATCGTCTTGTAGAAGGCCCTTTTCCTGTTTGGCATTGTCACTCTCCTCGTCAGAGTCGCAGCTCAGAAAGGTGGACACATGAATCTGTGGAAGGCACCCTCTCGAAGGCGCTTTGCTTGACGAGGTGTTTCTCGAAGGTGAGAACACTGAATGCAGCTCTGGACGCATGATAGTTGTGGATGATTCCGTTGCACCGGATGTTTACTGCGGGATGTTTGACCCACGTGTCACGAGTGTGCTAGGCGAATGAATCTGCTGTAACGCAACGCCCCATCACTCGAAAGGATCTCTTTCGAGCGTGTCTGTCTCTCGGGCGCGGAGGGTCTTGAGCCAGCAAGCAAACTGGATCAAGGAAAAAACACCGTCATTGCATAGCTGGAAACCAATTCGGCCGCACTCCAAAATTGATACCCCGGCTGCTGAAGGGCTGAAACTGGATATGGACGTCGTTTGAGTGGCGGTCCATAAGGGTCAGCTTCAGTCTAGTCCATAGAAAGAGCGTCCAGGCAGGCAGATGGCGCGTGGCTAGAAATTCTGGCCAGAATTGGCGCTCCATGGTGACTAAAACGGATGTTGAAGAGGGTCCCTGGCCTGCAAGTGATATCCTTGTCGTGACAGGGGGTTCTTATCCCAGTCACCAAAAACGACCTGCCATAACAAAATGGCAATGGCTTTCCAACCGAGCAAGAAATGGACCTCACGAAGAAGACACGTTCCTGTACACACGGGAAGGCCTCTGATCACGTTGTTGAGAATATCCACCTCCGGTTCCCGGGCGTCAACGCCGGCTGTTTGGAGAAGCCTGGCGTGGAGTTCGCCGGTAGGTGATGTGACAGTGTGCGCAAGTATGTTTCTATAGCGATGGATTCTCATTTTTGAAAAGTCAGTTGCGTCTCTCGGATACTGAAGATACTCGAGGTTACGGGCGATGCTTACAGCTTCCATCGACCTTGGAGCTGATGACTACTGACAATAGACCAGGACAGGTTCAGCGTCCAAAGCAAACGCAGAAACCACCTGAACGTCCGATTTCCAAGCCAACCCCTGCCGTAGCCATAAGAGCTCCTCCCAATAGCTTGATATTTTGGTCTTGTGAAGTCATCTTTGGCTTGCGCCTGGATGAGCCAGAGGCAGAAAGCACTATAGCGCCTAGGTAGCAGAAGTTGAGAACGTTCTTGGATCAGAGTATCAACCACGGGCCTGTAGTGTACGAATGGGACAGTTCCGGCGCAGAGAGCTGTCCCTTGGAACAGGATATCGATTCTTGCATTGGATATGAAGCCGATGAGTCTAACTGGGTGATTGCCTCATGGTTTTGCGATGCCGCGCTGTCCATCGTAGGCCACGTCGTCTCGCTCAAAACCACTGACATCACTCGGTATGAAACCTGTCTCTGCAGAGCCGATCTCCCTAGACGTGGCGTGGCACATCTTCAATCACAGCGAACCCCATGTCCAGTCCAAGTTCACGCGATGCTCGCGCGCTTGGCATTCGTTCTTCAATCCCAAGCTTTACCGAAGCGATGTTAAATCGGGGCGAAACTCCGCCATCTTTACCACCATTGCCAATTGTGCAGACACGCGGATGGGCCTCGCCACGCTCCGGCATACCTGCCGAGCCGGCGCTGACTACAACAGACCGGCCACCATGTATATGACCGAGACGTATCGGCACAGCCCTTTCCTCGTCACGGCCCTCTATCTGGCCGCTTCAAAAGGTTATCCCGACATTGTCTCGTTTCTCCTTGACCACGGTGCCGATATCGACGGGGCCCCGGACTGCAGGCTACGTACTCCCGTCTTCCTATCTCTGCTAGGCGGAGACGCCGAAACGTCCATGGTTCTCCTTCGGCGGGGCGCACGGCTTGAGTCTCCGGGATTCGGAATCAACGCCCTCCATCAAGCAGCCGCCGCCGGGCTTGTCGAGGTAATCACGTATCTTGTCAACGAGAAGCGAATGAGTGTGAACGAGGCCGACGACAACGGGGACACGCCACTGATTCACTCCCTGTTGTCACCGTCGCCGGATACAATCATAGGTCACCTGGCGCGGTTCGGCGTGGACGTGAACCAGCCCACGACGATCGACACATGGCGCATGACGGCCCTCAGCATGGCGTGCGAGGATGGCATGTTCGCCGCCGCCCTGGCACTGTTGAAGGCCGGAGCGGACGCCACGGGCGAGCTGGACACCTTGATCGAGGGGGCCGACCCGGCGCTCCGCATCTTTGAGCAGGACCCGCTCGAGCTGGCCCTCCTGGCCGGGGTCAGAGAGACGGCCGGCAGGACGGCCGCGGCGAAAGAATGCCTCATCGATCTCCTCATCAAGTCGGGTGCTGACCCAAACGCGACGGTGTGTATATCAGCCCGCAGCAACTGGACGGGGCCTCTCTTGCTGAAACTCGTACGAACGCGACGTCGCTGGGAGGCCGAGATGTTGCTCTCTTCGGAACTCTTGGAGATCGACAAGCGCGACTCGCATGGCGCGACGAGTCTCGATTGGACGCTTTCCACATGCCACGGCAACCCCGTAATGGCGTCGGTCTTGCTGCGGCATGGCGCCAGGATGGACGATGCAGTGTTGCGCAACATCATCGACAAGCTGGCGCGGCTTGCGGACGCACAAGACCACCGGAGTGTGATCGGCCTGTTGACGCGGGAACCGAAGTTGTTGAGGATATTCCACGTGCTGTATTCGCACTGTTTCTGGGCAGCGTCCCGGAGTGGCGACGCTGCCGCATCACGGTTTTTGCAAGAGTCGCCGAGGGTGATTGTGCGACTCGTCACGGAGATGCTGAAAGACGGTGTCAGTCTGACGAAGACGGGCGTCTTGTACATGCTGCGGAATGCGAAGGAGAGCCGGCCCGGGCCGGTGATTGCAGGAGTTTTCCGATCAGAAAGAAAGAGCACCCCGCGGAGATGGTGTTAGTATAGTAGGCCGAGATGGTCAGGGGAGGAATGTGGAGCTGTTAGTAAAATAGATGTGGTGTCAAGAGCGGAAGGTATAGAATTATGGTGATAATTTCTGACGAACTAGTCCTTCGCGGCATGTTGTCGGCGAGGCCTGGTCGGCGATGCCAGTGTTCAGGTGAATAGCTGCATTTGGTAGACGTGAAATGACTCCCTGATGGAGGGACACGGCGCATGGCTTAGGAGGGAGTTTACTGCCTCGGATAGTATTTATCCCGATTAGATATCAAGTGTTCTGTGGCTGCGCAAGTGTATAAGTTCTACAGTCCTGCATCTTTGATGAGCCGACGTCCATGTCGGTTTCATCGTTTTCAAGTGCACGACCACAGTCTGCCCGACTGACTTGGACGATATGGGATCCATGCTCGATCTGGTCGTCCCTCCTTTGGATCACTTGACAGCACAGCTCTTTGAGGATTCATTCCTCGATGAATATGAACTCAACACAAGAGAGGAGGCTATCCGATCCGCAAAGAATGAACATGGCCTTGCAAAGGCTCGTGTCGATATATGTGAGTTCGACCGTAGCGTACGTATCATCAACAGCATCTGCTAACACAGCAAAGCCAGCGCCGACCCCGTGACGTCCGACGACACGTCCACGACACGCCCAAATACTGACTGCACGGCGCCAAACACGCCAGATGCACGCAGAGGGTACAATGGCCTTGGATAAGAAGCCGACGATGGACGTGGCGTAACCGTGTCAGGTTCCGCCGTAGCTGTACTGATGCAGAGATCGCAAAGACCAAATGGCCTGTGGCCAACTCTGTAGACATTGACGGCAACGTGAAGGCGGTGCTAGAGACGCGTGTTCGTCTCAGGACAGATATGGCGGAGCTCCTGAAGACCTTTTTGCAAAATGGTCATAGAGAGAGTAGGGACAGGACCGGGGGGGGGGGGGTAGGTCCGCTCGTTGCGAAGGTCGCATTGGTTGGAAATCGCGCCAACAGAAACCAGCCAAGTTGGCTTTCCTGCAATGAAGAGTCTGTTCTTCCAACTTCTATGTACTCAAAGCTACATAGACCACAAGGACGCAGTATTGTATTTGGGTCCCGCCACTTGGAGCTATGGTGTTGTCAGTGGTCCGGGTCTGGGGCCCGAAACAGGGCGTTCATCGGCGAAAAGAGCAGACATATTTGACTCCGAGACGTGGAAGCATGCGAGTGCGGCTCTGTGATACCAAAAGACATGCATCTAACTACGCACCTATATAAGTTCAGGGTACCTGCCGAGGGCCGCCATTTACGACCCGACTTCTCGTCATCAGCTTCCAGTAGATTCACTCCCCCAAGAAGACCACTGTATGCTTAAAGCACTGCGCATCTCAAAACATATCCGCGTCAACATGGGAGTACGGCGGGGCTCGATGATCCACGCAGCCTGGTCTTCGTGCCTCGAGGTAGTTGAAGTCATCTGCACCGCCGCGGGTGGCGCGTGCATGTTCTACGGTGTGGTCGTGGGCATCCGTGATACCCTCGAGTGGGATTGGCTGGACGATCGTCAAACTTTGTGGGTCTTTGAAGACGGAGAGTGCACTAATGTATGGCAAGAATGCGTCGAGCGACCCCGAGCAAGCAACGCTGCTTGTGCGTCCCGTCTCCAGTGCATCGTGGGTTGCTACGAGACCGATGACGGCGCCAATTTGTACGCCGTCAAATGGGACGGCTACGCGTGTCCGACGTGGGAAAGCGAAGAGGACCTCTCCAATTACGGCTGGTTGATGGCCGAGCATGATGAGACTTGCCGTTGCGCGCCGCGCCTTCAGAGTCGCTGCGAACGGAACGAGTGGAACGGACGAAGTCGCCGAAAAGCGGGCCGAGTCGCGCCACTTGTTGATTTGCGGCCGACCGATGTAGTCTCAACGGCAGAGATCTGGGTCGGAGACAGAGCAAGCCTTCCTCGCTTTAGGCCATCGATCCACTTGTGCCGTCATGCGGAGCGTCCAGATATGGTGCATTGTCTTTTGTGTTTCTGGGGTTGCCGATCTGGCTCTGACATGGCCAAAGGTGGCCGAACGAGCAAATCCAGAAGAGCTCTCTTTTACACACACACCTAACAGGAGAGCAGCTTCTGGACGATGGAACGATCCACTGATCCAGCAACGGCTCCGACGAGAGCTCCCAATAGGAGAGCTGTAGATATGAGCTAGACATTGGTGTTCCAGTGCTCCATGTAGATACTGTCTAACAACAGCATTTTCACTTCCAAGGCATTGCCAGCCAACCATAATGTCCCCAGAGACTTTGCATTCTTTCGATGTCGTGAGTGAATGGGTTTCTTCCATGTCGACCCACACGGAGAGGCCTCGGCCAGCGCCTCTCACATCCGGCCCCTAAAAGACGTTCCGCCATGCGCCGGTTTCGAAGTCACCATCGAGGCAATTTCAACACCACGTCATCAACAGCAACCGACCTTTGTCTCATCAATCTGCGGTGGAGGCTCGCCCGGCTTCACACGCCGCATTCCGTAACGAGAAACGCCAAACACGGCGTCCCACGGAAACTACCAGAGCAGAAGTCACCCTCGATACAGGCTCCATCATCGACGTGGACGAAAGGGCAGAATGCGAAGACTCCAGCGAAGCCAGTCAGCCCGGTGTGGAACCTCTTCAGTTTGTCCGACGCGTGGACTTGGACGGCACGGCGGCCGGTCGTTCTTTGATCAGAAGCATGTTGGAGAGGTTCTGAGTTGATGATGAGGATGGGAACACGGCTGCGAGCGCGGGATAGAAGACAGGAGCATTAGTGTAAACACCGAGGTCACGTTGTGGCGGGGCGTGGCGCGCACGGATGGACATAGGAAGTGGATTACGATGGCTTGTGTCTAGTCAAGACGAACGAAAACAAGAACAAGGTCTATAAACGGAGTGAAATTCGCCAGAGGATGCACGTGGAAGACGTTTCGCAGAGTGTTGACACTATTCCTGGTTCGTGCGGGATATTGAGTTTGGAAACTACTTGCGAATTCAGAGAATCGCTTTGACATGGAAAGGAAGGGATTTCTGGATCGCGGCTCTTCAAAATATCTGGCCGTTAATTGTAGTCTTATTCCAAATTCAGATACCACCGCCTATATGATACAGTATGGCGCAGAACCGTACGTGGACAAAGCGCAAGATGAAGCCTCTCAACCGTTTAAGGCGGTTATCTGTCCGGGAAAGGTCGATGATGGCCCAAGACTCTCCCCAGCTACACCCCAATCGCCGCCGTTTTCCAGATCAAATTCCTGTTGCGGGATAGGCTGACCATCAAAGCCGTAGACCCACGGGTGGAGCGGCTCGTCTGCTACAGCATGGGCAGAGTCAGCAGCATCTGTCAAGTATCCATTCGTGTGTCCGGTTTCGAGATGCGTGCTCTCCGCGCAATAGCCGCTCGGTATGCTGTGCTCTACTGGCTTCAACAAACAACTACCACATCCAGCATACCATCCACAATAGCAGTTGTGAGCTGGATAGAGGAAGACCCGGTCCCAGCCGCCTGAGGTAGGAGCGTCGAAGCATTGTTGACTGCGCAGTGATCTGAGAACACAAGAACTTGGACGCATTAGTGGTCATCCACCGCTTCAGCTTATCCGGGTTGACCTACTTCATGAATGCGGTATGCAAACAGATAGGGCACAACTCAGCTGAATGGCCGGCGGGACCCTCATTGCCACAACCGCTGAACATCTGTTCTCAGAACGGCAGCGCACTCAGCTGGCTGGTTGCTACCAGCTCCTCTGCTACACTGGCGCCCGGCCCGCTGAGGTCGTGCATGCCGAAAGGAAAAAACCCAAAGACGGAAGCACGGACGAGATTTTCAAGCTCCAAGGCGTCAAGTCCCTTGATCTTGAGTGTGGCAAAGACGCAGAGAACGTGGATTATGATGACCAACCATCACAAGACAAAGACTCCCTTCTCCTCGACAGATTGCTGATACAGGAAACAGCCGGGCGGGGACGTCCGAAAGCCTTGTG